AGGAAGACAAAGGAAGACCTATAACTGCTTCTTAGAAAGAGCTGTCTTCAAAAGAGAAATATTGTATTAAGGATTGGAGAGTTGGCTCAGTAGATAAGAGCAATGAGTTCTCTGGTAGATGACCTGGGTTCATTTCCTATGAATGTCATGTCACGGCTGCTCACAACCATTTGTAACTCCAGTCCCAAAGAATCTGACACCCTCTTCTTCCCTCCCTGGGCATCAGACACATATATGGTGCACAGACATTCATGAGGAAAAAATAGCCATTCATGTGGAATAAATAGAATGTTGCAAAGAGCAATCCTGGCTTCCTAACTTTTGTGTGTCCTCTTGTTCCTACAAAATCTCTGTGTTCAACATGAGGCCATAGCACAATCAGCATTGTGTTCTTTGATCTTTAGCCTTTAAACTGAGATAACTAATGTTTTCTCTTCGTGGTGTCCATCTTGGTTGTGGTGATGATGGGAACCAAGTCTTGGAGCAGTTACTTTAAATGTAGTACTTGAAATACAGAGGTAATTTAGAGAATGATATTGGTGAATGAAAGAATTTGAAGGAACAGGTTAGTAAAGCCTAGAATGCTGTATACAGAGCATTCCAGAAGAGTGTAGTGGGGGTATGAATCATGATAGGGAAGAGATGGAACATCTTAGAGGCCATCAAGTGATTGTGACAGAGTAATGATAGAAATATAGAGAGGAAAGGACACATTACCAGGTATCAGATGGACCTTGTATCTGACAAAAAACAGATACATGTTACATACTTGCAACTCAAATGAACTTGCAAAGGTGGATGACATGTCTGGTTTCTTCTCATAATGGGCAACTCCAACATAAACATGAATCTCTGTATTGGCCTGTATTCAGGACCAATAGTTTCAAAAGTTAGTAACAATGTACTGCATGCTTTCAAATTGTGGGTAGCTGTTGTGACTAAATACTGCCTGAAGGCCATAAAGCCTTAGTCACTAGACATTGCTACAATATTTATAAAAGTTCAGAATCCACAATCACTGTCATCATAACTTTCCACTGAGTTTCAGTTTTCTTCTTCTACTGTGTTTTCTTCTTCTACAGTTTAGGGTTTTTTGCTTTGTTTTAGTTCATTCTGGTTACCTCATAATTCTTTCTACCATAAGGAAAGGCTTGGCAGCATTTCAGAGTAAACAAACATCTCAGCAGGCTTTTTAGGACTTGGGCATCATGCAGGCATTTTCTCCCAAGCAATTTTCTTCAAACTCTTTAAGATTCACTTACAATTTCTTTTTATGGAATCATGTGTTTAAAAAAATTTAAAAGCTTGAAAACACTTCTCTCTACAGACTTTTTAGGGAATATCTTAGATTAAGTCTTACATCTGCCATTTAAATTTTGACTTGATTTTAAGTGCTATATTTAAGACTAACACAGTAACATATCATGAAAGTAACTTAATGATGATGGCAATGAATCTGCCCTGATAATGGCAGAAGTGTGGTTTTGAGATTATCACACTTTCCCCTTTACTTAAGATTTTGAGATTTTAAAAAATCTGTCCATTTAGAAAGACTTTTCTATTTTCCTACAGGAACATCAAATTTGAAGGCATGAACAAGGAAGTAAAATTTTACATAAAAATCACGTGGGCTATGTGGGTTGCTCACAATATATGTGCAAGTGGCTAGGAAAAACGGAAATTAATAACATACATGGTATTTGAGGTAGCTTCAGATAAAAATATTAAATGAGTCATATCGTTAGTGTAATAAAAGAAGCAATTAATGGGAACACCACCATCACATACTAAAATGCTGACTTCCTAAGATAAGGAAACTGTGTATAACAAAGACTACAAGGCAATGATTGATTCTATGGCAAGTGTGATTCTTCTCTGTCTCTCTAAAAGACAAAACGACTTTTCCAGGAACTGAAAAGTCTCCCAATCAAAGTCTGTACATTATGTTATGACACTCTAAATCATGGTTGAAAATGACTTGTCGGTATTTTCTATGTAACAAGGCAAGCTAAAGCTGCCCTAGCTGTTTGCTTGTACCTGGACAAATGAATTGCCCTTCCCCTCATCTCTGCTGAGGAGTTTCTGTTTGGGGGAAGATGTTAATGACTGCCTTCGAAGCCCTCACAGGTACAGTGTATTGGTCCCTCCACCCTTCAATTTTCCATGTAACTATCGAATTCACATAAAATGTGTTATCAGGAAAGTGTGTGAGTAGTTGACTTCAAATCAGTATGACGATTCAATGAAAAGTCAGGAGTTGGAGTAGTTCAGAACAGTGTGACTGTTCCCTAGAGGTCTATGTATTAAAGGTTTCTTCCCCAGCTTGGCACTCTCAGCAGGTGGTGACAATGTTCGCAGATGCAGGCTAGTGGGAGATCTGTTAGCAACTTAAGGCGTGCCCTAGCGGGTAGTGAGAACCTTCCCTTTCTTCTCTTTACTCATTTTACTTCCCAGCTATGGCATGAACACTGGATTACAATCTTGGGCTTGAACAGATGTCATCACACTTGGAAGCACTTTATTGACTGTTATCTTGTTCATTCTTCTGGCAAAACACCCAAGATATAACATGAACTGCTTTCCACTAAGATAGAAGCAACTTCTCATGCAGTCACCTATGCACAAGAATATTCATCGTCATTCATGCATTTCCCAAAACTGTCTTTGAAAAACACCCATCATCTTTCATCTATACCCTTTAAGGCTCAGCATGTTCCTTGTCTCCTGGTTCTAACACTGTTGCAGAGGCAGAAGGCAATGCTTTTCTTTTCTTTTTGTGTAGTTACTGGGCCCTCACAAGCATATCTGAGGAACCTATAACAGAGAGTTGCTTTAGGAAATATTTTTGATAGTATTTTTATTTAAATAAAATGCCAAAGTAATAGAAAAGTTACAGGAATCATACATGGAGCTTCCATACTTCTTTTACTTGGATTTTGTACAATCCCTCTGTTTGCTCTGGGTGTACACAGTGACACAGGTGAGAGTGATCATATATCATATACACATGAGAGATACATGTAGTTTCTTCCCACTGCTTGGGTTGGAACTCGGGACCACATATATGCTATGTGGTTGCTCTGCGTCTGACCTATATCTCCACCCCTAAAAGATAGTGGAATTCTAATTAATGTGCAAGCTTCTGAGTCAGATTATTACTAACATAGCAACTTCCTAAATACACAGGTGATGAGAATGATGTCCTGCTTGATGCTTCTAATTGCCTGCAATTCCTATTACTTTCCTTGTAATGAATTTTAGTTCCAGAGAGAGAAAGTGAGTGTTTAATGAGACACTACCAGCCTTTTAAGAAAGCCACTGGAGTGTTTTAGTCATACCAGTGGGAAACTAGAGCTAGGCAAGGGTTGACTACTACTCCCAATGCCTGGAGACTAGAGGAGGTAGTAATGGACTTTTAAACTGATTTTCTTTTCAAACCCATGCATAAAAAGTAAGAACGTATATAGTTCTGCTAATGCTGATTCAAAAACTCGACTATACATATTTCTCTTGTTTTAAAGTTGATCTTGTCTTAAAATTGTATCCTTTTACCAAATTAAACATGGGGACTTATTTGTGGAGAGAGTAAAATAGACATCATAGGCAATAAAATCCAAGCTCCATTGTGACAGTCACTCACTAACAGAGCCCTTACCTAGCATGCAATGGCCCGATGTTCAATCCCCAAAATCACACAGACATGCACAATGGGAGGGGAAGAAAAAGGAGGGAAAGAGGGAAAGAAAATTAGTTCAAACTCCAGAAAAAAAAATGTTTAGAAATCCCCACAATGAAACCATAGTAAAGTTTTCTCCATTGGTATTAGTGGTTTCTTTAGAAAATGCTATTAAGATATTTTAACCAGAATAAAAACTTCACAGATGTACACCAAATAATACAAAACTTGATTCTTGATGCATACAATACACTAAAATAGTCAGCAGAAATACTTAAGAAGCAATCAAAAAAGATAAAAATAAGTCTCACTTTCTATTGTAAGCTAAAACTTTTCCCCTTGGATTTCATGGCTCAATGTGGCAGTGGAGAATCATCTGGACATAGTGTGAAAACACTTTACCACTGTGCTCTACTGCAGGCTCTCTGTATGCAAACTTTAATCACAAGTCATGTTTGCCTTAACTAAATTATGATATTATTATATTTTAACTCAGGGTGTAAGCCTTTTTATTCAGAAAAAATTGCTATTAGTATGTTTTACATGGATTAATAGGAAGCAAATTTTCATTATTAAGTAAAATAGGCTTTATCACATATAGAATAAAAACATAAAAGCATTTGTTTTATGATATACTGTGCTACGGAGAATATTTTTAATGTGAAACATGAAAATATTTTTTAATAATTGTAGTACTATTTTATATCACATTTTATCTAATGTCTAATTGCTTATTTTCTAAAAAAAGAAAAGAAAAAGGGAAAAGGGAAAGGAAAAGAAAGGAAATGTACACACAGAGAAAGATGAGCTGAAAAGAAGATGCGGGCCTATTGGGTTACATAAGCTGTGGTTAAATGAGGAAATCTAATGAGACCAGAGTTGAAAGGCCAGGAGCTCTTACAGAATTAATCACTATGATTTCTATTCAGAGATTTTAAAGGTGACACTATCACAAACACACTTGAATAACCACAGTGTTGCACTGGGCACAGGCTGTAGGTGAATCCATTGCTTTATACAGTTGAACTTGACTACAGTTGCCTGGGATATGTACAATGTGCTGGATTTTGAGTGCAGGTAGTGATTGTTCTTGAACAAAACTATGTCCCCAAAAAGTTGCTTTTGAGGTTTGTTTGTTTCTTAAATAGAAGAAGGTTGAAGCACTAAAGTGAACACTTTTTTGTGTCAGGTTAAGTGGGAGGCCGAGGAGCCGAGGACTAAGTCCCTGAAATTTTAACACTGCTTTTCATCTTCTGTAATCCTAAAGTCATTTCCAAGGTTCTGCAAGTCCTCAAAGGAGTCAAACACATAAGCATGTGGCTCACTAGTCTATTCCTGAAGCTTTGCCTAAGAAGTTGGCATTTCCATCTTCCACGTCTTTCTGCTGGAACCATGGCTTAGAATTAGGTCCTTGATGATGATAAGCATCTAGAAAGTGACAGATTCCAGGGATATCACTAGGGAAGTTTGGTGGAAGCTCCTCCCTTGATCTTGGAGTAAACACAAAACCAGGACAGTCTTTGAGTAACCTGAAAAAAAAATAAAAAATAAAATGAAAACTTAGTGCAGACTGAAACATTTGGCAATTCATGCAAGAAGACAACAGAAATAATGAATATTACTACAGTAGTCGTATTAGATATAATTGATAAAATGATTCCATGAGGCAAAAGACAGTTCCCCCACACACAAAAAAATTCAGCAACAAATTAAAACCACAGAAAATTCTGCTTACTCATACATTTGACTCATATTAAAGGGAAATTAATTGTACAATACTGGAAATTTATGTGGTAATAAAATTCATAAACATAAAATTACTTAAATTCTAATAATAGCAAACATACATCATTTTAATGTGATTGAAAAGGGTTCCTGTCAGGAAGTGGTAATCCCAGCACTTAGGAGGCAAAGGCAGGAAGATCCCAGTGAGTTCAAGGCCAGCCTGGTCTACAAAGCAAGTTGAAGGACAGTTAGGACTTTTACACAGAGAAACCCTGTCTTGAAAAACAAAAACAAACAAAAACCAAATAAGCAAACAAACAAACAAAAAAAGAAAGAAAAGGGTTTCCTAGGTTAAAAGTGATAAATTATTGTCCATTCATTCATTAACTATACAAATGCAACTGAGAAGAGAACATGGGCAAGAAGTTGTGGAAAAAAGGTAAAATGCTAAAAATGATATGAGAATTACTTTTCGAAATATTAGTGGGTTTTTAAAATTAATTCCGTAAAGGTAGGACTCAAATGAGTTCTTTGGTGGGAAGGGCTTATTGGAGACAGTGCTTCATGTAGCCCAGGTTGGCTTCCAACTCACGATGTACCTCAGGATGACCTTGTGCTTCTGAACCTCCTGACCCTGTCTTCTGAACACTGGGATTAGAGGCAAGCACAACCACTCTTGGTTTATGCAGTTGTGGGGATTCACTCCCTGGTGTCAAGCATGCTAGGCAAGCAGTGTATCAATGGAGGCACGTCTACAGCCCACTAATAAGTTTCAGTGCACATGTTGGAACTCTACTTACTGGTTGTTGTCTGTTTGTATAAAGGAGCATAAACATAAGGGAACAGCAAGAGACTGACTTGGCAATATAGAAGGCTAAATAGTACAATATTCTTGTCATCTTTAGGGATCTGGGATACTTTCTGTTACTTTGGGGTTTCCAATAAAGGGGTTTTTTGGATATGATAAAATTTATAGAATAATAAAAGTCTATAGGCCTAGAATGGCTGTTTATTTTCCGGTTACATAAGGATTAGTGTTACCACAACACAGGAAGTCATTGGCTCAAGTTGCCAACTAGATGAATTGGGACTGAACCTACAGCCTCATTCTAGTTGGTCAGCCCTTTACTACTGAGCTTGGTCTCTTGTCTTCCTTTAACGCATTTTTTTAAAATTATTTATTTACATTTTATGTGTATGAGTGTTTTGGCTGCATGTATAGTACATTGTGTATGTACCTTGTTGCCCCAGGGGCCAGAAGAAGGTGCTGGATCATCTGAAACTGGAGGTAGAAAAGGTAATGTTCTACCTTGTGGGATGTGGGTACTGAATCTGAGTCCTCTCCAAGAGCAGCAACTGCTCCTAACTGCTGAGCTGTCTCTCCAGCCCCCTCCTGTAAGTTTTCATTTTGAGACAGAATTTCATGAGTTTCCCGTCCTTGAACTCTCTGTTCAAACTATCCTTGAACTTGATCTCATCCTGCCTCAGCCTCCCAAGTAGCTGGAATTTCAGGCCTGTGCCAGCGCTCACACTAAGAGCTCCCCTTGATCCTATGTGACACTTGGCCCCTGTGTTAAAATGTCACCATTTGCTGCAGGAATTGTTTAATGTCCTGACAGTTTCCTCTGCTGAACCCCCTTTTGTCCCTGCAGTTCTGAAGCAGATTTACCTCTTGTCCTTAGTTGTCGGGAGTGACCCTCAAACCTTTGGAAACTTCCTGAATTACAGTTACTGCTATTCATTTATTTTTTTATGAACTCTTTGAGTCCCACCTGGTTTGTGTTAATTAGATGACTCAGAGTGGGGCCAGAGTTCCAGAAATATCTTCCAGGTTAGGAGAGGGCTGGGGCAGGGGACTGGATATGGCATTTTATTAACCAAGCCCAAGGATAGCAGGGAATGCAGGCATTAACCTTTAAAAAAGCAGAGCCTCCTGGTTATGACTCCACTCGTGTAGCAAGAGCCAGTAATGCATCCAGACACTGAGGACAAAAACAGGAACCCAGCATTTGGAGCCCAACCAGGCCTTACCCTACCTATGCACTTCTTCATTTGTCAGATCCTGATTCAGGCAACAGTTACTAAATCTGACATCATTCTAGAAGACTAACTTGAAGGAGTCAAAGAAGCCCTCATTTCTGTAGTTAGTTGGCCAAACTAACTAACACTCCTGGGGTGTGGCTGGTGTCTGATATTAATCGGTTTTGTTGAGCACAGACCCTTATAAAATGTTGTAATTATATTAACTCTGGGTAGCTACTGTTGGAACAGTACTGCAGGAAACCAGTTAGTGTCAGAGTGCCCACTGATATATGGAGAAAATTAGCTCACATTTTGAATGAAAAATTGTGGAAGAAGATGCAATATCTGCTGAAAATTAATACCACAATTATCTCCTAAGAGTAGTGAAAGCCTTAAAGGAAGTTGAAGTAAGAATTCTAAAACTTATATCACTTCATTTTCCTGTAAGATTTCCAATGCAAATAAAGCAGGCATGGGGGACAGATAAAAATAACAACTGCATCAAAGTGAAAAACATGAATTTTAGGTTCCTACTGTAATTAGTACCTGTATGTTGTGGGGCTGACGTTGATTTTCCGTGGAACACTGCAGGACTCAAATTTGTTAGCCAGAGTGACATTGTTTCCAAACAGGCAGTAGCGGGGCATTTTTACTCCAACCACTCCAGCAAAAACTGACCCAGAATGCAGTCCAATTCTCATCTGAAAGCAAAATAACAGTGTTCCAGGTCACTGCAAAGTCACTTCCGGCTTGTCAGTATTGTTTGAATGTCTTGTCCAGATGTTTCTAACTACTGTAACTAACTCCAACCCACTCCTCTCTTCCAGTGAGCCATCCTCTAACGCTCATGCAAAGTGACATTGCCAGGGCAGAGTCAGTATTCATACTGGGTAAGTCTGTTCCATTAGGTGTTTGGTTTTTATTTCACCTGTCTTTAACATCTGGAATAAACTTGTTTTCAGGCCTCTCAGGGTCATTGCAGCAGAATAACAAAGAACCTGTGGGCTGCTCTCACAAAGCTGCTGTGACCTTCAAATGAGAGAAAGACATCCTTTCTAGACTCTAGAAGGTAATTCTTGAAACTGTGACAGGGCCACCTGTAGCTCCAGTTTCTCAGAGGCTAAAGCAGGATGATCTACTGAACTCTGGAGCTTGAAGTCAGCTTGGGCAAGATAGACAGGCTCCAATCTCAAAATAAAAAAAAAAAGAGGTACGGGATCTAAAACAAAACGTTTTGCTTTACTATAAATTAAGGCAAACACTAATCTTTTCTTTAAATGACTAGCAACTAAGGAAAAGGATTTGTAAAATTGAAGTGAAAATGATAGGGGATAGAGAAAATTGTAGAGGTCTGGGACCCAGCTTCCTGTAGTTACAATTTATACAGTCTAGCCTGCTCAGGAACCTCAAATCTAGGAAACTTAGGCAATGTTTAAATAGAAGACATAGACGGGACAGAACTTAGAAATTATGAACATCAGAGGAGCCTTTGGATGAAGTATTTTTTCTTTATTTCAAGCCCAAATCTCACTTAGTCCAAGCTGTCCTGGAATGGGCTATATAGCAGAGGGTAGTCTTGAATGTCTGATTCTCTTGCCTCCACCTCCAAATATTGTAATTTGGATGAAATACTTTTAAATGGGCTACTCTAAAAGACCTAGTTCCTTGATGAAGTGAGAGAATGCCCACTTTCTTAACTGGCTGCTACAGCAAGCCTGTTATCAGATGGTAAGGATGTCATTTTATACTCATTACTTTTAGATTCTATATCTAGCTGGTCATTTGAAAAGTTTAATTATCTGTGTGTCCTTTTAAAAAAGTCCAAAGACTTGGTTTCTGAGGTAATGCTTTAATTAAAGGGCTCTGTATGTTTTTAATTTTTAAAAATGTATTTATTATTTGGGTGTGGTGGCTCATACATTTAATCCCAGCACTCCAGAGGTGGAGGCAGAGGCAGAGACAGAGGCAGAGGCAGGTAGATCTCTGTGGTTTGACACATGTCTGATCTACATAGTGAATGCCAGGACAACCAGAGTTGCACAAAGAAATCCTGCTTCAAAAAAAGGAAAATGGTGGGGATGGGAGGTAGTACAACAATGTGTGAGGTCCTCAGACAGCTCTGTAGGGTGGGCTATCTCCTCCCATCATTGACTGCTGAGGACAGACCTCACCAAGACAAGGTTGCCCAGTGTCTTTACATATCTCCTGAGCCATCTTTCCAGCTCAGGTTTTCCTTAGGTTTACTGCTGACTTCAGACATTTGATGACCTAGAATCTTTCAAGATGTCACACCACAAATTCCCCCTCATTTTCAGAACAGAGCATTGGGAGAACGCCTTCTGAAGATATATCTGCTTTCTGTGCTTATGTTTCCCTCTGCTTATTTCTTCATCTCTGAAACGCAGCTGTGGATGGTTCTTAAAGCCAGGATCTTAGCTGTCTGCTGTACCTAGGGTTTTTCGTCTTTAGGAGAATATTGATTTATACACCTAACAATTGCACAATATTAAGTAGGCCATATATGCAACTTTAATAGAGGTATATTAAGGAGTTCATATTCTCTTGGGCACCGTCTCTTGCTTAAATATCTCTGTGCATATGGACGTCTGGATTTTTTTTAAAAGAAAAGTGTACCATAATATTTTATTTTTTATTTCAGAAGCAATATATAACTGTATTCCCCTCACAGATATGGTCAAAGCCTTCCACACAGCTCCCTGTTTCTCCCTTCTCCAGTGCTCAATCTCACATTTATCCCAAATCCAAGAACAAGAGTTCACCTATAAAATAAGATGAACAATATGTTTGAAGAATTCTTTCCATTGGGAAAAGACAGTGAAAGAATGAAAGACAAAGAGAATTTCATCTCTCAGTAACTATTGAAGGGAACTTTATAATAGAAGCCCTCAACTGGAGGATTGTTTTGGTGTTGCCTAGTTCATCTCCTGGGCAGCTAAGCAAGGAGAGGACCTGATGTGGATTTCCCCCTCTTTCCTTCCACTTTTTGACTTTCACTGTGAAGTCCAACCCTGAGTTCTCAATCCATTGTATACTCACCGTTTCCCAAGCCTGAATGGATGAGAATGAGTGAGGAGAGCAGTAAGGAGAAGTAAGTTCATGACTGATACACACATGTGACTATATTAGGGAACAGCAGAGTTAGAAAGAAAAACAAACAAATTGAAACAAAACAAAAATCCACCAGGGCAATAATTTTTACTTTTTCATGATGAAAACAGATGAATTCAAGACTTCAATCCAGACTCTCAGGGAACTTGGCCAGTCTTCAAATGTTGTTCCCCAAATTAAATGAGGCAATGCCTAAATCACACTGTGCAGTCCTTCACACACACTCACGTTTCCCTGTCTGCTAAAAGCACAGTCCACTCAACCCTGTATTGTTCACTATGAGTCTCTAAATCCACAGGACTGAAGGTGAACAGACAATAAGAGACCTATTTACCGTCTCACTTCACAGGTCACTAAGGCTAAGCTGTTATTACCCAGGTAATTATCTTTAAGGAGACCTATAAATAATTCTCCTAGTCTCAAAAATAGGAAACACTACACTGGGACAACTAATGAAAACCCTGCCATTAATCTCTTGATGTGGATCTGACATATAAAAGTAATTTATGTGACAATCTTGGCCTTACTGCTGATAGTCTAGATATTTTTAATATTTATTGTGATGTCATGAACTCTCTTACCAAAATATTAGAAAAAACATTTATTCTCTAAAAATGCAAGTATAGAAGTTAAATCTAACGTCAAATGCTGTGAAGATTTTAAAATACTGCTTCAAGGTATCCCATACCCATGTGCTTCAGATTTGGCTCTGTGCTCCCTCTTTTGAGCAGACAAGTGAGTAATCTGAATAATGGAATGGGTGGAAATGCCTCTGTGTGGTGTGTAAAGATACATCATAAAAGGCCATGAAGTTTCTACCAGTCTTTCACTGGATGTTTGCCACCATGGGAAATGAATGCTTACTCTTAGCCCACCATGCTGGAGCATATAGTGTGTGAGTAGACAATAGAAGTTAATACCATATTTTCTACCATCCTACCCAGCAGGTGGGTAAAACTGCTATATTGGAATGGATCCTCCTCTTCATTCAATACAACCCTAACTTTTCCATACACCCCCATCTACTTGGCTATTCTTAGCGAAAGACCCAAATATAAAACTTAGCAGCATTCTTCCAACTTATTCAAACTCAGGACGTACAAAATCAGTTTACAACAAATGGCTGTGGATTTATATTAGTTTATGTTGGGAAGTGTCTGATACATCAATATATGAATGAGCTGACAGATGAATTGGAAATGGTGTGAAGACACGTGGCTTCTCTTAAGGTTACAGAAGGCCAAGGCTAAATTTGTCTTTACTATAGCTTTACTTTTATGTTTTTCTTCTTTGTTGAAATTGGATACTGAAAGTTGAGTAGATAGAATTCTGTACTATTTTGGGGGTTCATTGCTGAAAAGTCATCAAACAAGGAGTGTTCTATAAGATTAAGTGGTAAATTTACTATAAGACAACTCCTATGATCCACTTGGGTTTTATCTATCAAATCAGCACCTGATATTTTGCTTTCATTTTCTTAGTGCAATATTATATTACTCTGAATATGTCTCATCTAGAATTCTTACAATGTCACATGCCTAGAGAATACTGTTCGCTCCATCCTCAATATTCTTTCCATTTTATATTTTATTAAAACTTTATTATAAAGAACCTGCAAATCAAAACATACCAGGCAGTGAAATTAACCATTCCCAATACATATATCTCAGTGAACCTCTATAGAGTTAGACCAGCCATTCCATATTTTTCTAAGGGGGTATCATCTGCTATTGTTGAAACACAAACATTTCATTTTCTAAACTGTCGGTCACTATCTAGATGGATAAAGCTGGATGGACACTGCACACATACATTGGGCTTTGGCAAAGAAGTCCAGCTTTCCATGGATACTGTGTCCCTTATGTTTCCAATTTTGAGCACTGTTGTGGGAGCTTTGTGACTGTCTATGGCATGCTCAGTAGAGAATCCATTTACCAGTCTCATATCATGGAACAATAGTGATGCAGGAATTTCCATCTTGCTGTTTCAGTTTCTAGCAAGTGTAAGTTTGTCTTTCAGTTACCAGCATAAGAAGCAACTTTCTGTGCAGGATAGTTTTCTGCCACAGCTACAGTGTTGTAGGTCTAACATGTGATTCCAAACCATAGGTAAAGCACGGGTTTGCTATGGGTCTTTAGGAGATGATTTTGACAAACGAACTTGCAAATGGCATTTTCACTCATCTCAATTATCTTGTAAGGCTATGTAACAGCCTATGGTATTTTTTTCCTCTCACCTAAACAAATTTGAGAAGACTTTCCTCTTTAAAACTAAACCCTGGTCAATGCACCAGGTTTTTTTGACAACAAAGTAATATGCAGCTTGTCATTGTCTTACCTTGATGGGTTCTCCGTGGGGAGACATGACCTCATTGGAGAGCTCCATCATCTTCAGGGCCATCAGTGCTATCTGGACAGCATGAGTGTCACTCTCTCTGTGCAATCCCCCTGCCACACAGTATGCATCACCAATGGTCTCCACCTAAATATAATATAATTTGTCCATTACAAATAAGAGCTTGGAAGGAGCCAGCACAGCAGAATCATACAGCAGAAACCTGAGTGCTCTGGCCCTGTGGACAAGTGGGACAGTGTCAGAAGTAACTTTTCATTACATAAAATGTACAAGGTGCTGACCCCTGCCCAGAGAGGAGTGAACTGAAAGATTGCATGGTTTGTGAATACACTATCATATGGCTCTAGTGTAGACTTGCTAATAATCACACTCTGTCTTTCCTAAAAAAACAAAAAAACAAAAAATCAAACAAAAAAAAAAACCAAAAAAACCAAGCAAGCAACAGCAAAAGCTATTTATATAAATTGGCTTTTATACAACAAATGGATTTGTTCTTTAGATTTCATTTTTATTCATTATCATGTGTGCATGCGTAAGCCATATGTGAGTGGGTGCCTTCAGATGCCAGAAGAGGGTATTGGATTCCCTGGAGCTGGAGTTTCGTGCAGTTGTGAGATACCCTATGTAGATGCTCAGAAATAAACTCATGTTCTCTGGAAGAAAAGGAATAGAACCCTTGATAGCTGAGGCATTTCTTCAACTCATAGTTTGAATTTCTAGTAAATTTTGATAGTGAAATCAACTTCCCATCATAAAACTACATTTCACATGAACTTACCCTCCACTAGTAATGTCATATGAATGCAATAAAAACGTATGATGTGAAATCGAGACACCAGGAGTCATAAAAGCAAAAGAGATAGAGCTTTGCTTAAGTATTTCTTTGAATTTCAGCAATTATTAAGGGCACTCATGTATATCAACCACAAAGGATGGGTAGAAACCAAACTGCCAAGATGGGGAATAAAAACAATAGTGCTCACAAGGCTATTGGATAAGAAGCTGTTGTTTAAATTTGAACTATGCTTAGTATCATTATCATTGTCCTTTCCACAAGCAACTTTATCTGTTTGTCTGTGAGTAGCTACAGAGAGCTAAGTATTAGCTTATCAATTTAAATAAATATATAATCCTTCTATTCCCACTGCTTGGACTTGCCCTGTCCTTACATCTGCTACTCTCATCTACAGAGCCCATTATGGATTATAAAAGTAAGAAGAGAGCAAAGGGAAGGAAGGACAAACAAGAACTACTTCAAGTAATTTCCATTGTCAATGGAAAAGCTACAGTACTTGAGATGCCTCTAGAGTTGCTCTGAACTTGTCTTTGCTATAGTATGACTATTTTCTCATTGTACCTCTTTCTCATGCCACTGAAGTTCCATTATTACTCAACTATAATAAGCACAGTCCCTCTTATTCTTCATTTACCTAGAACAAACAGAAAATACCTGTTTGCTTATCGTTAATGTCCTTAAAACATTACCTTATTAGAAAAAAATCTGTTTTAAGCCTTGTGGAGAGCTATGATCTTTTGGCATCTTTAGTTCTTCTACTTTTGAATCAGTTGTTTCTTCCAAAAAATTCCATCAACTGGAATTTTATATATAGCCATACCATCTTCTCCACTACACTAGAATGTAAAGACTCTGAGTATGTCCATTGCATTAATTGCATCACCTACACCCAGTAATGCATGAACAAGCAACAATACCTTGCTTTTTCTTACTCAGAAACAAGGAGCAATACTTGTTCCTTATAGGTGTTCATGAGGAACACTCATCTTAATGCAAACCCTATCATAGTGTTCCAACACAACAGTTAGGAAGAATATTACTCTCTGCTTGTACTTTCAGGTGCCTATTTTCTCTTCTGTCATCACATTTTATGCCTCCTAGAATAGTTAGGCATCCAACACATGAGACACAAAGTGGACATTTGTTAGCTCTCCTCAGCTCCCCACATGTGACCTTATCTCAGACTGGGACAACAGTATTTATTGTCTACTCATGAAAGCAAATGCTGGATAATAAACAATAGTATGCTAAGCTAATAAAAGAATGAAAAATAATACTCAAAATATTGAAATGCAAGAAGAAAACAAAATCACATAATTATCTCCTGTAATAAAAGCAGTTGACTATTCTTTAGAGTCATTTTCACTTACAGGTCATGCTATGACCATTTTATGCATAAAAGCCAGTATCAGAAGTTAATTACCACTTTTTGTGTTGTTAGTTAGTGGAGGTCCCATGGACCCTTTTGTTAGCATTCAGGCATCTATACTGGCCTGTACTTGAGGTTCTGACAAGATATGCATGCCTTCAGCTGCAGCCACTAAGAGCACCACCTGTGCACATTCACTATGTTCCCTTTTAAAAGGGCCCTGCCTACCTCCCATGTTTCTCTTTCTCTCCCTCTCTCGCTTTTCTTCTCTGCCTGTCTCCCTGTCTCTCCTTCTCTCTGTGTCTCTGTCTCTGCTCTCTCCACCTCTCTCTTCCTATTCAAGAGTTCAGTCTCCCATCTCTCTTCCCACCATTTCCCATTCACTTTCCCCCAAAAATACCCTCCACCCAAGCTCTGTTGTGTGGCATTTTTCTCTTGTGCACCACTTTTTAAAATTACAACACCCTTAAAAATACAATCTATCACCAATGCTGTGGATTACTCTCCAGAACTTGGCAATAATCTCTTATTGCTGAAGACATTACATATTTGGGACATATAAAATAGAGCAATTTAACTGATACTCAACTGGAAATTTTAACCCTAATGGCTCACTTTCATAGTGCTAGTGCTAGAGGGTTGTCCGAAGGCTATTTGAGAGGAAAAGTAATAATCTAACCCAACTGTGAACACTATGAGCTACACTAATGACATGCCTGGCAAGATATGGCCACCGATGGCATGAATGTTAAGGCAGTAACCAATCCTGTGAAGACATTTTATTTAAAGCGTATTCCACAAGATGGAACCTGTACTTAATACTGTAAAGGAAACCAGAAACTGGTGGCTAGAGAGGTCATGGACTGTGTGTGAAAAACTACTGTTATACTGTTAAATAGATGTAGCATCAAAATCATTTGTAATGATATATTACTATACCCACAAATCAGTACATCTCTGTACTCACCAGAGAATCTTGTTCTTGCAATAGATGAAAATTAACATTGAGACTCACAACTGGTCAATGTGTAGAGAAAAACAAACTTGGGAATGCTCGGCCCCAAAATGTGATGTCTATATCATATCTCTCCCCTCAAGGTTTGGGATCAACTTGGAAAAGGTGACAGAAGCATTATTAAAACAGAGGTAGAAGATGACTTCAAGGAAACTGATTTACACACACAGCAGAGCAGACGCCCATATGAACTCGTAGTGATTGCAACAGCATGCACAAGTCCTGTGAAAACTGCCCACACAAAATCCCAGCATGGAGGAAGGGGGTAGGAATGGAGTTTCAGCTCCAGCTGAAAAGGAGGTTTTGGCATTTGATTGCTGCTGGGAGGGAAAAAGTCAGTTTTATTCAATTATTTGACACGAGTATATTAAGCACACTCCATGGCAAGCCCTATTTCCAGGAGTAGTTGGCCAACATAAACTAGACTTGGCAAGCTTTAACTAAGAGACAGAGAACATGAAGTTGGGTAGACATGTAGGAGGGGTTCAGGGAGGGAAATGAATATGATCAAAATATAATGTACGAAACTCTTAAAATGTTTTAAAAATAGACCCTTCATAAGCTATTTTCAGCTATTTCCCAGCAGAATCAGAGATGGGGGGAAAGGTGGAAATGAGGGCTCTGGGAGCAGTGATTAGTGGTGTGCTGTCTGGCTTCTCTGAAGCCAGTTAGTCAAGGAACTTTGTGGATGCCTGTCCTCCTTCTTGGAGGGGATATAGTTCAGAAACCCTCGATAGAGCCATTTCAACTAAAAGCAGGGGATGACAAGTACATTTGCAGCACTCACAGAAGTCTGTGTGATGGAAAAAGATGTGCTTCTCTCAGTTCTGAGTGAGGGAGCCATTCTCCATGGAGAACACAACTAGAAATCAACAGTGAATCCCACAAGAGGCCATCAAATGTAACTGAAGCAATGCCAATTATCTTATCTGTAATTATACAAGTTTCTCTTCCCCACCCTACCCCCAGGAAAATCACAACTCCCTGGGAGAGTTCATGTTAGGAATTTCACAAGATGCCGCTAGTATCTCCTCAGAAACAAGGCTGGGTCTATGTATTCCCATAAACAATATTTGCTTTTTCCCAGTAGTTTATTTCTTTTGTGTTGGGCTGAACTCTGGAGTTACCAACCTCTGGGACAAGCTAAACAGATGACTTGAGTCAGACACAGATGAATGTCATTCTTACTGCCACTGTCTAAAACGAGGCAAAAGAATTTAAACCACTAAAACCTTTTCATCGGACAAAACAGGCAGAACTTGAAATTTCATTTTTCTCCCCTTCTATAATATTTCTTTTCAAGAATGGCATATTTGGCATTCAGGACCTAATAGTGTTCTTGGGTCTCCATATCTAGGGAGACACCTAAGTGGTTCCTGACACCTCATCAAGAATCCCAGAACCTGAGCCAAAACACATAGCATCTACAAAATTTTCATGACAGTTCTGTTCACAAAGGATGTGGGACATGGTACATTATCCATGGTTGTGAGTGCTGGGCAGGACTATTGCTTTGGCTGTTTCACAATCGTGAAATCACTTGCCCTGTTCCTAAAGCAAGAAAAGTAGAGGACAGAATCTGTCTCTTTAATTTGAGTTTATCTGCCTTTGATGAAGATGCACTAAGTAGCTGACTTTGATATGCTAACTGCCTATGAAAAGTATCAAGTAAACTGCATTGAATTAAACTATTTTAGGACAATTTGTATAAACCTTTTGTTCCTTTATTTTTAAAGAAACAAAGGCTAAAGTTTCCCTCTCTGAGTCATACCTGTAATTAGCTCTCGTTTAATTCAGTTTCCACAGTTAAGTGGCTGGTCCATGGATGGCTAATGCTGAGCTTTTCACCATGAGAATCATCCATTCAGCCTAATCTCTCTCCACTCCATGCTCATTTTTAGAAGACAATGTGGCAAACATCTCCGGAACAATTAGTTCTTATTGAACTATTTCTGGCTGGAGAACACTCATCTAATTAATGCACTATACCTGACCTGAAGATACAGCCTGTGTGACCCAAATGCATAGAACTATTCATCAGCATTGCGGTTCACTCAGGTGCTAGGCACTGTGCCTTTTCAAGGTGACTTCCTCCAGCTAAACCCTCTTTGTCCCACTTCTCCTACCTTGTAGACATCCAGCTCTCCACACTGCTGGTCAAATCGAGTGTAGAGAGCGTTGAGCATGGTGATGACCTGCAGGGGTGAACACTGAGAGCAGATGGCAGTGAACCCTACAATATCTGAGAAGAGCATGGTGACATTACTGAACTTCTTGGCTTGCACAATTTGTCCTTGCCACAGCTGCTGAGCAACCTCAGAGGGAAAGATTGAGCAAAGAAGATCCACTGTCTTCTTCTTCTCCTCCTCCAGGGCTTGGTGGGCATGCTCCAGGGTGGCCTTCAGCTTCCCCAGCCTCTTCTTGAGGCCATCTTGAGCCCTTGCCTGTTCTCCTATCAAGACAACATCCCTCAGGGCATTATGAATTGGGATGTCAGACAGGTAGAGGCCTCGTCCTGTGAAATCTTCCAATCTGTCCACACAGGGTGATCCCAAGAACAAGATGGCATTGGATTCAACAATGTAGATCATTTGGCCTTTGAGATCCATGACCTGAAAAGCAAAGGAGAAGCAATTACAGTGTGTGAGTCAAATTCCCCAAACCATTTGGAAACAAGAGAGGGAGTAGATACCAGCATAATTTGTTTGGTTTCCAATTTGCTACAGAAGAACGATATGATTTTTAGCCAGTTCCAGTTTTCTGTCAGCTCTGAAATTCATGCAGGCATTTGAAGAATATATCAGGTATACTATAAAATCATTATGAGCAGCTATGAGCAATGAGAAAACCATCTTGCTCTGAGACCCTGTGGAACAGCACACTGGAGCTGTTGTTGCTGGATTCTTCTGATATTCTTAAGCAGTTAATCTGAAGTTATAGTTCTCATATAATGTGGTGGCTATTAAGACCCTGCCCTTCCCCTCATTCTCTTTCTCATTACAGATTTTTTTGGTCTTCTATTTTAGCAAGCATCTCTTCTCTACTGCCATGAGTTACTTGTTCCATCTGGCAAGCACTGAAGCTAAAATGTCTCTAAATATGTATCTGAACATTTCTTTCTTTTCTGTCTCGATATAGATAAAGAAACATTTTTGGGGAGTGATTATTTCTACAGGGATTTCAGCCTAAGATATCTTACAAGACCTATGGCCATGCCTGTGTTTCAATTTTGCCTTCGTCTCTTAACAAAGGCTATTCTCCCAAAGGTGAAGAAAAATATAATCCAACCTATAGTTACAATGTACTGAGGGGGCCTTGCAAGAGATAGGGATTCAAGAGTGTCCACACAATTTACTTGTATACATATAGACAAGTACACATAAGGATGTTTACACCGTATCAGAGCCCAAGAAACCAAGTGTACATCAGTGAGAGACTGGAAAAATAAAATCACACATAATCATATAGTACAATAATCCATAGATTCCAAAACATAGAGATAAACCAATGTCTAACAATAGGGATGGATGACCAAATTCTGTCCTCCAGTGACAAAAGTAGTTGTAGAGGTTTGCTATTACTGCCATAAGCAAGTACACATATATGGCTTCTCTTATATTTTGATGTAGTGAACATTATTTTCATTTTTGTCATTATAAAAGAACTAATGTGTGTGTGTGTGTGTGTGTGTGTGTGTGTGTGTGTGTGTTTTCATTTTGAGGAACAGCCAGTGTGTCTGGGAGGTAGTGTTCCTAAGGCCACTCCTTATCTATGTGTGTGATGTCTCCAGGCAGTTAGTAGACTTTTGTTCCTGAGATTAAATGATTGTTCTTTACCTTGAGAGCATGCCCTCCCTCACACACACATTGGATAGCAATTAATCAAGCTACTTATTTATCCAGGTATTTATGGACTGATTAAAATTCATTTACTCATATCTTTCATCACGAAGCTTTGTTCTTACAAAACAGTATTTTTATTACTCAAACCAAGTGAGCTACTTGATAGCAACCATACATAAATTTTCATATGAATACTTCTAACTTGGTTGTAAAGTTCTCGGTTGTGATTTTATATTTGTTTGTTTACTTCTCCTTAAATGTCTCTACCTTTGTTTTCATATGCATGTGTAGGTGTGTATGTGAGGGCACACACATGTCCCAGCACATCTAGAGGTCTAGGGACAACTTGTAGGAGTTGTGCTTTCCTCCCACTCTATAGTTACAGAACTCATATTCAGGTTTGGTGGCAAGCAGCTTTACCCATGAGCCATCTCACCCCACGCCTTGTTTTGAGATAGGGTGTCATTTACATTGAACTAGCCTTGAATTGTATATAAAATCAAAGATGACCATGAACTCCTCAGCATCTACCTCCTGAATGATGAGATTAGAAGCATGTGATATAAACCAGTCCAGTTTTATCGAATGCTTGAGATCAAACCTCAGGCCTCCCTGCAGGTCAGGCAAGAGCTCTACAGATGAGAGTTACACACCCACACCATCACTGCTATTTAAGGAGGCAAACTGCAGTCAATAAAGATTTGTAATGAGTGAAGTAGACAAGAAAATGAACATAGGAAGAAATTTACTTGCTAAAATTACTTTAGAATTTCAGACAGATGTGTTACCAAAATGGCATGTGCTCATTTGTTTTGTGGTTTGTTTCCCTTAAATATTAAACAGCTTGTTCTATTTTGAATAAAATATTGCATTTTCCTTACCCTTGATGATTTCTTCACAGAGTTATCCCATCTCCTCACTCGTATGACAAACTGCATATTCAGCATTGTCATGATGCCACTAAATGTCTGGTTGATTTTGGGAGTCAGAATTTCAAAGAATTCTTCAAAGTTCGGCTTCCCTTGGAAGTCCCTCTTGTTCACCAGCCTTCTGATGCCATTACCCAGCTGCAGGATGGCCAGGTCTCGGTCGAGCATGAAGTGGAATGGGAAGGTCTTGCAGAAGAGTGAAACGGGGATCACAAGCGAGGACTGGGGCTTGCCTGGGGACAGAGAAGGCTTGGTGCTCTTGACTTGGACAGAGTAGAGCAAATAGGGCTGGTTCACAAATTCCGTGCAGTCACTTCTGAAGCAGGGAGGCATCAGAGACACCTCCACGTGGCTTTCGTACAATATGCGAGCAGCCGCTTTAATGATACCGGGGAGAAGCAGGGCTGTGGTTCTCTTGGGGAAGAAGTAGTAAACATTTAGGAAGTCGTGGTCCTTGTCCAGGCATAAGATGGAGGCATCTTCCAGCCTCCCCCTCTTCTCTGCCTCTTGGCAGTGGCTGCTCTGCTTCAGGAGCGTGCTGAAGCTGTTGAGAAAGTCCTTCAGTGTGCCGCCCACCACGCCCAGGATGTGTTCATCTTCCTCATAACAGATCTTGAACAGCTCCTCACCCAGAGAGTCTTTGAGCGCCTCCACGGGGACTCCTGCAAGCACACAACATGGTAAGCTCTCAGGTGTGTTAGCTTAGAACTCAGAACCCTTGGCTGCTGCTACCAAACACAACTGCCCTTGATTTGTGGTTAACTTCTTTTACTATCTTAGTAGTTCCAACTCAAATCAAATGTTCGCACTCAACTTATCAACATCAATAAGATTTCAGAATTCTGGTAACTCTGATTAACCTTATCTTCAAACTTTGTTTTAAACCAAGAATGACTAAGTGAGTAGAATGCACCAATTTTATCTCTCTTCACTATTAAACAACTAGAGCTCCGGGGCAAAGTCCATTTCAGATGAAGCTTATCTGTCTTCTTGAAGCTCCAGAGAGGCTGGAACAGTGTACGAGTCACATGTGAAATTACTTTAAAACATGAACTGTTATGTCTGGAGATGATTTCAGGATGGTTTGTAATTTGATGTTCCCTAAGTGAATATGTGCATGAATTGTATTATTCACAGTTAGCATCTTCTTCTCAGGCTTCTTTCTTATCTTCATACACTGGGCACCGTATTTTTAATTATTTCTTTCATTTTTGAGATAATAATATAATTGCATCACTTCCCCCTCCCTTTCCTCCCCTCCAAATCCTCCCATATACCCTGCCTTGTTCTCTTTCTATTTGATAACCTCTTATTTGCATTAATTGTTGTTGCATACAACAGTTCAGTCTGTATAATGTTATTCAAATGCATGTTTCCAGGGCTGATCATTTGGTACTGGATGATGAATTGGTGTGCTCTTCTCCCAGGAAGACTATTTCTACACTGAGGATTCCTCAGTTGCCTGCAGTTCTTTGTGGAGGGTTGAGGCCTTGTGGACTTTTGTCCATCCAGTTTGACAGGCCCATTGGTGATGCCCTTATTTAGCTCATGTTTGGGCAGTCATTTTGGTGAGTCTTTATGTGTGCTGCTTCTTATATTACTAGGAGATACAATCTTACAGCAGACTCCCTAGTCCTTTGGCTCTTCCGATCTTTCTGCCCCCTCTTCTACAATGCTCCCTTAGCTTTAGATATGGGAATGTTTTGTAGATGTCTCCATTGGCACTGGACTCCACAACTGTACATTTTGATTGGTTGTGGTATTTTGCAATTCGTTTCCATCTGTTGCACAGAAGTTTCATCCATTTTTCTCTTGTAAAGTAGGATATAGCGCTACTCTCTTTGAGGAATATTGTGACCTATTGTGGGAACTATTTAGAACAGTGTCTATCTCCCAAGAATGACTCAGTATAAAGTAGCCCTTGCTAACATTATATTTGTAAAAGCAGTGCTTTTGTAAGCCTGTAACCTTCTGGATTTTCACACCCATATTCTGAAAGGGCTCTCCGGCAGTCACTCATTTATCTTTTGTCTGGAGCTAATTATTAATGTGGGAACTCTGCCAGACTATTTTCCCATGATGACTTCCAACCATTTACAATACTCTTTAATTTGCCTTGTTAAGCAGAATTTTTGTATACAAATGAGGGAGGCATAGTTTAAGACCAAAGCCTGTGCATCAGCTTCCCACAGAGTCTTATCTACTTCTCAGTAAATAAACACTATAGAAAGAGGAAATGTTTCAGGACACAAAAAAATATAGTATAGGAAGGGTTACTCTGCATTAACACACACAGAGTTCAAAGACTTAATGCTGGGAGTCACTAAGAAATAAACACACATATGTTGAGAGAAATATTAGTTATTCTGGAATGTGATATGCTTCCTAATTTCATATGATTAAACAATTTTATTTATTACCTGATGCAATTGCTTGTTCTGCAATTATTTTTTCAAGGTCTTCTTTTTCTGAAGATTTCCTGGAAGTAATTAAGTTTTTTAAATTATAAACTGATAAATGAATGATGGAAATTCAGGTTATATACAACATATAGATAACAATGTGAGATAATTATCTTTCAGAAGCAAATTTGACTTGCTATATACAAAGCAAGCAGTGACCTGAACAACTCAAAACACTGTTGGGAAAACCCCAAAGTATACATAGTAGGGAGTGTCTCATAGTTTCTCATGGAGCACATTTGTCTCTGTGGTTCACTTTACACAGGCCATTGAGAAAGAGAATTTATAGTGGCACATAACCAGGAGTGGGCAAGCCAAGGTTAAATGACAGAGGAACTGCTTTGTATATGGGGAGGGCTTGGGTTCCACCCCTAGCACCAAAACAAAGAAAGAAACATATGCTAATAAGTTCTCAAGGGATCAATCATCTAACCAAGAAAAAAAATCTGCCCATAATGGATTTCCCTGTTGATTCCGAAGCTAAAACATAAAATAGAGGAATTCTTGCTACTAAGATTAGGAGTCTTTATAATTATCTCTGACATTATTTCTCCAATTTTTATACCTGGTCATATAAACAAACTAATTACAGATCTGTTTGTTTCATCAATCATTGCATTATACACAAAGGAAGCTTAAAACAATGATAGCACATATGGACATCAATAGGAGGCTGAGATAATTTCAACTGGGCAACTTTTTTGTTTTTGTTTTTGTTTTTTAATGGCATTTACTTATCTTATTTACCAGATTATTTGCTATAAAGGTATGGTTTTCCTTTGGACTTTAGGTTCTTTTTCTATATATCTGGGTTTTCTTGTGTGTTTTGTTTTTGTAGATGCTAAAATCAGCATCTTTTGCTTTTTTCTGTAGTTCCTAAGATAATTACATTTGTGACATTTTAGTATTTAAGAATAACCCTTTCTGCATGATCTTCGATGCTCAGCAATATGTAACATCATTGTCTTCATGTGTCAAATAGACAACTTTGTAAGATAAGTTTGCCTAGTTGTTTTTTGAAAACTTCTCGTTATAGCGACTGATTATGGCCAAATTTGCCAAACTATTCAATTACTGTAAGAGCATTTAAAAATCTCTTGAATTGCAAGGTTCAACTTGCCATTAGCTGAGCCAAGTTTAAATGCAGTCATATTTCTCTATTTTAAACAACCTTTTTATAAAATATGGTATAACTTAAGAAGTTTTAGAGGGCAAAATTTTCAAGAAGTAAAATGACCCAGAGCACCACCTTGTTTCCTAGAAATTGATGCTTTTAAGTGTGTAAAGTACTAGGTGGAAATATTTTATCTAAATGGACCAAGGGTCATAATATAACCTTGTACTGAATTTGGATGTGGAAACCCATAAACCCTTTGTTGGTTAATCCACTACCATACCAAATACTTATTTTCCTTCATTTTCTTCATTTAAGCAGATTTTTTTCCCTAAATATGAGTGAGCCACCTCAGTCTAATACATTTTCTGACCCGCATGCTGTCAGATAAGAGCAGAGCATAGTGTTGTCATTCCAAACAGCATACAGTGACCTCTAAACTAAATATCACTTGCTTTAGCAAACACAGCAGACAGAAAGACTTATGAGTGGCCAGGAAACCCATTCATTTCTCTCTCTCTCTCTCTCTCTCTCTCTCTCTCTCTCTCTCCACACACACACACACACACACACACACACACACACACACCAGTTATCAGTTCATCCACATCTAGTAAGAGAAGAGAGAGGGGACCTGCATCAAGAGAGGTCCCAGTGACTATAGTAGATAAGAACTGGGAACTGGCCTCTGTCCCTCCATTGAAGGACAGTGCCCTGCTAAATACATTATCTGTGTTTTGTTTGTAAGTCCCAGGAATAAGCTGCATGAAACAGGGTTGAGATGTGTTCATCTGCTGGCAGACCAAGGATAACATAAACAGTAATGTGAGGCACCACCAAGCCAATGAGGGACAGAAACACTCAGAGGATGCCCAAGAATTAAGGGAGAGTGGAGGGTGCCAGAGCCACTCTACACACCAGCAGGCAGGAGGGAAAATCGGATGGCACCAACCAGGTCATCATCATGGATAAAACATAGACATTCTTTTTCCTTAAGAATAGATTTCCAGCCGGGCGTTGGTAGCGCACACCTTTAATCCCAGCACTCGGGAGGCAGAGGCAGGTGGATCTCTGAGTTTGAGGCCAGCCTGGAATCCAGAGCGAGTGCCAGGATAGGCTCCAGAGCTACACAGAGAAACCCTGTCTTGAAAAACCAAGAAAAAAAAGAATAGATTTCCAAATGAAATGATTGCTGTGGGCTTTTGTATAGGGTGCACCGCAGCAAATAGATCTCCATCCAGCAGCAGGGACGTTTCAGAGCACAAAAGCCTGAGAATAAATCTCAAGCAAGCTGGCTGCCAAGGACTTGTGCAGACAGCCCTAGTAGCACAGCAAGATTGACCTGCCTGGCTATCTTATCAGCTTGCCTGGGAATTGTGGGTAGAGGCAGAGGCGCCTCTGGGATGCTTGTCAGGTCTGTCCTATAAACAAAGCTTCTGTCAGACACAGATTCACACTCCCCTGGGCGGTTCATGACTCTCTCTTGCCTCAACCGAGCTGCCTGCCTGAAGTCTGACTGCAGCTACTCAGCCGGAAAATCCAGCCCAGGCAATCCATAAGCAGATTGCATGCTTATGGGGAGAGGTACATGGGGGTGTTTGAAGATTGCACCCACTGTGGTATTGGCTTGCAAAACTCCAATCTTTACTCTGCAAGTTCGCACTCACTATTTATTCTATTATTCATAAATTAAATACCGAGAACCGGGATAGTCAGTTTCTCCATCAGAAGCACATGTGACCATCTTTATGAATAATAAATAAATAATGATACAAACCAGGTTTTTTCAAAACACACAGGCCAACTTTCCATTTCTCATGATCCTTTCTTGAAAAGTAAGTTATTTATTTGCATTTATTTCCAAATTTATAGTTGCTAGCACGCTTAGTTCAGTTTTGGCTATATAATAAAAATCCAGCACAAGTCAATATATTCACAATGATTGATTATTTTTAACAGTATCTTTGTGATGGGGGTTCATATAACTAAAGTGGTATAACTTACCTGTCTTCTTTAATTTTATGTTTTGCCAGTGTTCTCTGAAGTGCAAGGTTCAGCCGCTCAAACTGGAAATAAAAAGAAAGAATTGCAGCAGTTTCTTAAGGTTTCTCTGAAGGGAATGGTAACTTTTACTTGATAGTGAGTATGGTGCATTTGATTTGTTGGGAATCGAGACTTCTTTCCCAAGTGTTTTTCAATCCTGGGAAGAATCATGAGCTCAGAATACTTTGTGTTTGGCTGCCAGGGGGTCCCTGGGCTTCACCCTTGGAATCTCACAGAGAGTCAAGTTTAGACTGACCCCAAACAGAAAATGTCATCTGGTAATGTCAGGTCTTCTGCAGTGCACGAGAATCCATACCACCTCTTCCTCTGGGCCAAGAAGTCTTCCCGGACACACATACAGCCAATATTTCATCTGCAGAGCTCATGCTGCTCCCTTCCTACATGATGTCCCCCTCACAGCTCACCAAGGACTACAGTGGCCTTCCCCACATAGTCCACTCAGATTTCAGAATTCTTCTCGGAAAAACCTGCAGTTATCTCTGCTTCCTTCTTAACCCTCAAATTAATCTGTCACCAGAATTGGTTATTTCAAGTGTCATGGCCCTATCTTATCTATACTGATTTCCATGTTTCGAAGTAATAACCATCACCAAATATTGGTACTTTTATTCCCTTTTATTGATTTCTGAGTCTTTATGAGTTCTTTCTTTTTTGGTGAGACATACATAAGTAATGCCCCCATAAGCATTTTTGGATCTCTTTTAATGTATCTTGATTTCTGCTTTATAAACAAAAAGGGAACCATTGGTGAGAAATGTTCATTTTTGTATCTTATATGAAAATTGCATATGTCTATGCATGATCATTGACTCTTATTTTCAGTTTGCACAGAGGAAAGTCAAGAACTTTCTGGATATGATCCAAGCTGGGAAATTCCTTTTGCCTTAATCTATTTATATCTCTCTTCATAGAGTTTCCACTAGTCACAGAAGGCAATGTTGAAAAAAAAAACAGAAAGAAAGAACGAAAGAAAGAAAGAAAGAAAGAGTAGCCAGAGCTTTTACAAAAGGACATGGCATTTTAAACATGTAAATCTAGCTTAGAAAAATACATATAAAATTATTCAAACAAATGTAATCACTAAAAAGAAGTTCAAATTGAATTTAAATTTATAGGATAAAGCACATTTTTTGATGGTTTGGGAATAGAGAATGGGGACACATCTGTGACAGGATGGAGAAAAACATGTAGATGTGCCAAAAGGTAGACTATGAGTATGTCCTGTTGACTCGGTGACAGCAAAGAGCCCGAAAGATAACAGATGTGTGATAAGTTCAGGAAGGAATAGGACAGCATATTTCCCAATAGTCTTACACATCAGGGAAGGAGAAAGACCCCATGCAACTCATGAGAGTAGTAAAGGGCATTCTAATTAGATGCCTGGGAAATTCATTTTCTCAAGAGCCTTCCACTCAGCAGTTATTCTACATCACAAGCTATCAACACCAGTTGATACAAATCCAAGAAACTATGATCTCCTGAGATTTCTCCCTTCCAAAGAAGATATTCATGGGAGGAACAGATCAAGGGGAAAATGGGGTACTGCCTCTCCTCTGTGTTTTTCTTTCAGTGTTGCTACTCATGTTTTCTCTTATCATCTATCTTACCTAGTGGAGTAGAAGCCCAGAAAGGGCAAGAAAAATCCATTTTGCTCATCTCTATTGGCTCCTGTCAGAAACTGTTGATGGATTATGAGGAAAGAAAGAATATCTAATAGTCCTTTCAATGGGGAATTTGTCCTTTTTCCTGTGTGGTACTATGGTAGACATCTTTCTCTTGCTCTCCAGTTACACTCTTCAGCCATTTTTAAAGCCCCTTCTTCGTGTTTCTATTCCTTTGTATGGTCTCCAGAAGTGCCTCGGTTGAGTCCTCTGCCTAACATGCATGGCATAGTAAATTGGGGGAGGAGTAAAGATGATCCTTTTTTCCAGCACCACAAGGTATGGTGGAACAGATGCTTCTTCAGACTTCCCACTTGAATCAAATTTGTTTTCCTTAAAAAGGAAGTATTGAAGTTTTAGGGAAGCCTGAGAATATCATTGTAGTGACCTTCTGCAGGATTCTAATTTTGTCTGATAATGGAGTTGTACTTGGTGGCTTCTAGAGAAGAAGCCACCTAGAAGGCCAGACAAGACCAGAGGCTGACATTACCACCATCCATCACTCAGGAGAGGTTGCTATGGTGATCTATAAAATGGCCTTGACCCCATAGTTATAGCAATGGAATAAAACAAAACAGTGATAACTAAGTCTATTTTTATGGTATAGAAGCTGCTAATACTCCTTAGCTACAGAAATTGAGAGAGGGATAGGGAGTCCTCCCCTCCCTAGGATTCCAGTCATTTTTTCCTGCTGTCCCGAAAATGTGCATGATCCTTTTGGATGCAGGAGTCTACAAGAAGTAGAAGACTAATTAAAGAAGACACTTTATTCCAGCTTTGTGAAGTCATCATTCACCTTGTGTTTAGACTCTTAGATGATGTAGCTGGTTTTGGACTACCTATAGTTTTGTAAGCATTCTTAATAAGCTTATCAATTCACAAAGCTGTACTTGGATTGAATACTAACATTTATTCACTGTCACCCTGCCCTCTCTGGGGTAATTAGAGCTGTTTTTACATTTCCCTTGGAAAAATCAGGGAACATTCATTGTTGTTATGAAAATATGTAGGTTCAAATAAAACAGACAGTTTTTTTCTAGGCAAAGTGTTTCTGACAAGGGCTGGTGCACGGAGTCTTTCTTCATGCTGTATTTCTCTTGATTTCTTAATCTAGACCCTGAGGTGATCCATGTGTATATGTGTGGAAGGGTGTTTGCACACAAGTTCTACCTGTGTGTACAAGTGGACTCCAATGATCAAACATGGGTATCGTTCCTAGGATTTTGATTTGTTTTCACATTAAAACAAGATGTCTCACTGGGGTTTGCCAATTAAGCTTGTCTGGCCTGCAGTAAATCCCTACTCCACCTTTCTAGTGCTGGGATTACAAGTGTATGTCACCATGCCAGTGTTTACACATGAGTTCTGAGCATTAAGCTCGGGCTCTCCTGCGTGCACACAAAGCACTTTGCCCACTGAGCTGTCTTCCTGGAAGCCTCTTCAGTTTTTAAAGCTTTCTAAACCAATAATGTTTCAGTTCATAAGGTTATATTATAATGTTATGAATTATTAATAAGATGAAGAGTTCTCCATCACCACTTACATCTTTCACTTTGAACAAATGATCTAACTTCGTGTACCTTAGTTGTTGTTTTCCAAGTAGAAATGGTAATTTTTCACTAAGTGATCATGGAAGCCCCTATAAATTCAAACATTTCAGTTTATTTTTTTAAAATGAGAGTTCCTATTAATAAATTGCTAAGGCTAATGGGTTTTCATTCTTACCACCCCCCCATGAAAACATAATTGGAGAGTTAAATCTGATTATCTAAAATAAGAACAACTATGTCAAATCAAAAAACAAAACAAAAACAACTCATGAAAAGCACTCTATAAAAAGACCAAGCAGATATTTGGACAATTGATAAAGTAGAGTAGACTGATGAATGCCTATTTCAGACATACTCAACCTTGGGACATTTGATACCATAAAGCAAATGATCTTAACTGTGGAAGAATGCCAATGAATAGTGTCAAAGGGATTCCTTCCCACAAGAATTTCCTTTCGTTTGCAGTAGTCTTCCTGCTTCTTCCAGATTGTGAAAAGGCTCATGTGGCTGGCTACTCCTCCAAGAGATGAGGATAGAAAAAAGAAAGTTATCAGCATAGAAAAGATCTCAGAGACTCCCAGAATTTCTGGCCAGCCAATTGCTCAAGGTATTTCCAATATCAAAGTTATTTGTCAGAGCCTGGCAATCCGGTTGCTCCTTTAATACATAGACAGCAAAGCAAAGTAACACAAAGAATCAAAAGAATGTGACATCAGGCAGAAGGAAATCTCAAGTCATCAACCCCAGGGAAAAGACAAGGAACTCAGAAAAATAATCTTGAGGAGGTTTAATAACTTGTAAGAGAATGTTGACAATCAAAAACAAGAAAACTATCCATCAGCAAAATGAGGTATCAACAGAAATCACTGAAGAAAAGTATTGAGCTTCATCCATCTGCCACCCTATACTTCACTCGGTCCTTGGATAAAGCCTCCCATAATACAATGCAAGTCACTTCTACAAGAAGGGCTATGTCTTCTAGTTTTAGCAAAGCTGGGTACCTGATGACTGTGATTGGGAAAAAATTTAAATATTTGCATTTCAAAAGTGAGGAAGGTGTAACTCTAAATAAATAAGATCCTTAAAATAAATGACTTCAAGTTTCTGCTAAGTCTGCTTTACCTTTCCTTGGAGCTTCACATCTGGTCTCCCGTTCCTTGGGCACCACCACCACCCCAGCCCAGGCCTGTGCTGTTAAAGCAGCATTGCTCTCCCAGTCCACTTCTCCAGTATTTCTGGGGCAACAGTGGATGATGATTTCATTCACTGTGCAGTAACACTCAGAGATAGGTGTGATTCAGCTCCATTTTACAGATAAAGGAAGCTGAGATCGAGGTGATGAAGCAAAGACTAGATGTTTGCAGGGTCTAATGATTTTTTTTAAAGGAAAGTGTTGACTCTCATAAGAGGCCTGCCTCTTGCTGAATGGATTAGGAGTGAATGGGAGTGAGGGATAGATGGGATGTAGGGGGATGGGATGGGAAGACCAGAGAGAGGGAAAACTGTGGTTAGTACGCAAAATAAATGAAAAAAAAATTTAAAAAGAAAGGAATTTAAGATATGTGCCTTTTGAAGACAACCCACAATTTGGAATATGGGTATTTAAAAAGACACTTTCCATATGTTTCAAGGAAATTCTGTTTATCATGTCCTTAAAAGTGAGAAACCCATTTCTAAATATTTTCTTTTGAAAACCTTTTCTTTTCCAATTCTCAAATGCCATTATCCTTGTTAAAGGGAGAGTACTCACCTCTGGGAAGATGAGCTTGCAAATACTTTCTGCCAGAGTGTGAAGGTAGACTCTGTTGCGACTTGTCTTTCTCTGGGGAAGGTTCCCTTGTGCATTCTTCTCAGGAATGTCCTGGCAGATGGGCAGAGTGGCCTGGCAGCCCTCAGAGCCTCCTGACACCTCCTCTGATGGTTCTTTAGGAACCTGACCAGGGGCCAGTAAGGAGAAAGGGCACTCCCCGGTGATCTTGAGATCCTTGAACTTCCTGCAGAACATGGTGTTCCCAGGATTCTTCTGAGGTTTCCTGCTGACTAGCTGGTGTTGATATGGGCTGCTGCTGATACTCCTCTTAGTGACTCAAGGACACTGGTGACCAGACATCTATGGGCAACAGGAAGTCAGAACAGAACAAGGAGAGAGGTGACTTTACATGCAGCTGAAAGCTAGGTGCATAAAGGGAAAGAGTGTGTAATCAAGGGAGGAGAAATTGCCAACAAAGTATTCATTGAAGATAAGCATGTCAGGAAGAACTTGAATATGTACACATAGTTGCCTGGAGTATATTGAAAATCTTTAAAACAAAATCTCATTTTCTATAAATGTCCTTACCTCAAACAATAGATTTCCACCTTTGCAATCCATTTGATTCTGTTTGATTTCACAAGGATGAAACACAACGCTAGAACAAGCATATTTCATTGTGTCCTGTCTAAACATCAGGATAGTACATGCTAATGTTTCCCTTAAATACTTCAATACATGTATTATTCCATATACATGGAGAAACTATCTGGGTGAGGTGAAAATGAAACTTGGAATCAACTTGGTTTTGTTAGCTGGTATGGGGTCAAAACATCTGGAATCTGACCCCAAGCAATTATTTATTACACTGGAAAAAATTTCCTTGTGACAATTATCATAACAAAGTTTAGGCATGATGACATTAAAGAGTCCTTTACAAAATGCATCTTTTAGCAGAGTATCTGGGACCTTTTACACAAGAATGGGTCCTATGGACTGAGCAGCATTGCTCAGGACAAGGACCCAGGAAGGATGGACTTGTAATTAGCATAAGGATGGGTTCTATTGACTGAGAATGAATGCTGAGGATTTGGGGGGGAACTCACTGAGGGCTGGCTTTCAGAATTGAGAAGGTAACTCAATTATAAATGCAAATATTCCCAGCCCTCTGGAAGGAAGACAGGTGTCAGTTTCTTCCTTTGAACAATTTGGGATTTTCTAGTACTATCTGTAAGCACATAGAACTCATATCTGTCTACAGACTTCGGATTTAAAAAGAGAAAAGGGAAATGATCACTAAAAGAAGTTTCTCACTATAAATAGTAAAACAATTTTAAAATATCATCATAAAGAGTTTTCTCCCCCAAAAGCTACTAAGTTGTAAGAATATATCGTGTTATTTTCAGGGATCACTGGCTATAGCTGTACAAGTGACTCTTAGGTGAACCAAGGAAGCTGCCATGGCAGATATCTGTTGAAATCCAATGAGTTGCCTTCAGCATGTTTTCCCATGCTTCTTTGTTGATGGCATCATTTCAAGTCCTCACACAAGCCCAACCCACTTATTGCAAGTTATTTGTCACTGGAGGGTCTATGAACATTTAAAGGTGTCTTCACCTCCAGCACCTTATAGAAACAGGTAGTGCCACCCCCAGATGACCAGGAACTCAAGGTCATTTTCCCTTACTTGAATTGCTAGATATGTTTCACTTGGAAATTTTCCTGTCTCACAAATTAGCAGGTTTTCTGTTACTACAAACTCACTCTTATGGGCCAAGTTCATAAACAAAGATTAGTTCATCTTGGAAATAGGCTTTACAGATTTACATTAAAAAATCAGTTAGGCTCTAAATGCCTTTGCTTGTTAGCCGGTAGTTTCTCGATCATCTGAATCACAACCTTTTGTTTCCATATCAGGAATAGCTATATGGATACAGAAGGACCTACACACAAAAATACTTTCACCAGCTTAAAAAGAAAAAAAACTCTCAGGTCTCAGTCTTTATTTCATCACAACATAAGGCAACCATTATTATCTATTGTCTTCCTTTGTTTATTAGCTTCCATTCTTGTTTACAGCTAAAATCTATGATCAATAAGTCTTTTCTGTAAAAGGCTAGAGATCTAGCCTTTTTGCAGGATATACAGTTTCAGTTCTACTTTTATACCATGAAAAGAGACATAGGCCATGTACAAATGGGCATGAATGCATTCCAATAAAGCATTTGCAGGTCAAGCTAGGAATCAAGGAATCTGGCCCACAGGCTGTGGCTTGCTGACTCCTGGCTCTAAATAGCTGAGTAAATCAACAGCATCATTTGAATCCAAATGCAAGGATAGTGTTGCCTTTTCATCTTCTCCACCCACTTCTCTCTTTAAATGAGGTGGATCCCATGTGGATATGAGTGCTTCCAAGGATAATCCAGGCAACACACTTGCTGGGCAAGAATGTTACCCTTGAGCTACATTCCAGCACAAGAATCAGTGTGGATGGTAGTTGTGTGCAGTTCTAGGGATGAACCTAGCAGATAACATGTTCTGGATGAGCACCCCCCCTCCTGAGCTACATCCTGAGCATGGATACAGTTCTGTATAAAGTTCTGTATAACTTGAAAATATGTAGATTAGAAAATAATTTAATCCTGTGGTGGTAGCCCGCACCTTTAATCCCAGCACTCAAAAGGCAGAGGCAGGTGGATCTCTGTGAGTTCAGGACCCGCCTGGTCTACAGAGTGAGTTCCAGGACAGGCTCCAAAGCTAGACAGAAAAACCCTGTCTCAAAAAAAAAAGAAGATGATTTAAAATACACATTTATTTCTAGAATAATAATGATGACACTCTTCTATATTATTATTCAAGTAAACTATCTATAATCCCAATGACACATTTTCAGTTCTCTTAAAGAGTGAACATAAAAACAATAAAAGGGTATGCAAAAGTGAAGGGAAAGCAATAATAAATAGATTATGGGTTTAATCTGCCAGAAATATAGTACTTCTTCTTACAATAAATCATATAAAACATATTAGTATTTTATCTTTGGCCTTGGAGGCTTGACAGAATAGTTTATGATAAATCCTTCTATTATGCTTAATCTTTCTTCCACACTGGATTTGAACCTCGGTCCACATGCCCAATGCTTCCCCTCCTACTCAGCCTGCCTACAAATTATATATAACCTGTCAACTGCCCTTGGAATTCTCCCCTCTCTTGAATTACACAATGCTCCCATTTCCAGAAAATGTGCTTGGCATGGTGGGTTTTTTTTATTATTAACTTAAAAACAGCAATGAGAAATAAGTTGCACTTATTGAAGGTTGGCTGAGTGTTTAATCTCATTAAATCACACATGTATAAACAAAGTAATTAGCATTCTTCATCTGTGACTGATGAAATTACACCAGGAAACAGATGTACAAAGATCAGTACTCTTGAAACCTCTGTGTGCCTTGGGTTTGCCAGGAACACAGAAGACATTCTTCCACTAAACTGGAGATTATTTTTATATATAATGTCAGCACCCACTTCAGAAACAGTGTGGTCACTTGATGAGGTCAGTATAGAGCTGGCTGGGAAGAGGGCAGATATGCTAAGGGAAAAACAAATTAAAATAATAGGTTTAGTGACAAGGGCTTGGAAAACATTGAGATAGTATTCTCTCAGAAACTTGGAGAGTTTCTTGCCATCCTAAAAGCTGATGATTAAACACCACCCCCATTACTAAATGTCTCTTCTATTTCTTAGTGAGAGATTCACTTTGCCATGCTGATGATAATAATCCATCCCTGGGCTTTTGTTAATACCTGGGGTATTTCATTGTTCAGATAAGGGCACTCTTCATCATAAACTCTAACATTTGGTTAACCATTAAAAACTTTGTTTGCTGCTATCAACAGTATCATGTTGACTTGAGGAGAAAGCTTCTTAGCCACACCTAACAACAAGTACCTCTTTCATAGCAACAATTGAAAAGCAGATTTCAAACTTAGTAGTGGCTCTGAGGAAAATGCAGCTTAGAAACTAAGCCTCCACTTGAAGAGCAAGCATTAGCCATGTCCAATGTTGATTGCCACATATAAGACCTAGATGTGCCTATGACTACAGCATTATACCAGTTTTAACACTGGACCACAAAGTTGAGGTGTTTAGGACAAGCCAAACAGAGAGGGGATCAAAACTCAAATTTCAATATCAGGATACAGTTTGCATAATTCAATATAAATTATAAACTTTTCTTAAGTAAAAGAAAGGACAACAGGGAATAATCAGGAAAGACTAGACAAATACCATGGGTTTGCCTTAGGCAGTGAGCCATTCTTTACTCTGAAGTAGGAAATGCTTGGAGAACTTCCTCTGTGATCAAAGCAAGACAAGTAGAAAAAATTGGGGAACATGTCCAAGTTTCCCCAGTACTATTCTTTTTAAGGTTATACACCTTAGACTTCTTAGTTGGATCATTCCTCTCAGAGCAACCCCTGTCTGTCTACAAGTTTCCTGAAAGGTCAGGGTTGTGACTGAGTTCACTTTTGCTCACCACATTTATTTCCCAGGCTACAACTTTCTGGCTTTGTTACTGTTGATTTATTTATTTATTTATCTATCTATCTATTTATTTATTTATTTATTTATTAAAGTCTCCATGCCTTCCCCTTTTCCCAGTTTCTGCCACCCTTGTCCACTCATCCACCACAGCCAATCCTCTCTTCTCTGCAGACACAGATATCTCCCGTGGATATCAGTCATTCATGGTATATCAAGCTGCAGTGAGACTATGCACTTCTTTTATTAAGGCTGGATTAGGTAATTCAGTAGAATGAAACAGTCCCAAAAGCAGGCAACAGTCAGAGAAACAACCCTGGTTCTCACTATTACCTGAAGGAACCAGACCCTAACCCAGCCCCCGCCCCCCCTGCTTTAGCAGCCATGAACAACTACAGAAAAGACCCAGCAAGATGTGCTGAGCTTCCTGACCTTGCCCATTCTCCCAGTCACTAGGAGGTCAGATACCCTCCACACAGCAAGGAACCAATCAGAAGTTAGCTGATGGGCACTGGACATGCTTTATGGTGCTTTACAGTAAAAGTAGCATAACAGTGACATGCAAAGGATAGTAACCACCCTGGGAGGGCCTATAAGTCATAACAGCCAGTTGACTAATTGGTTGCCCAAGCCCAGAAGTACACCAATCCTGAGACTGTTACGTACCCCTAGACACTCTCCTTATACATCCCAATAAATTCCCTGCCTTGCGGCCC